CTTCTCAAAGTCAATTATGTTATTTTATTTTAATAAACAACGACGAGGGGAGGAAGGCGAGCCCCAACGATTTCTCGTTCGAGCTACATTCTCCTCATTTTTTCGTCCAAGCCACATAGAAATCCTAGTCCTTCGATTATTATGTGTTTAAAAGTAATTCCAATTCTTGAAGGCCAGATTTTTAAAAAATTATTTATTTTCAAGGATCGGACACTCAGGGGCGTACAAGGGGGGACCACGCCCCCCCGCCCCCCTCTACGTGTGCCCCCCTGGGAGGCTGGGGGGGGGGGGGCATCCATGGGGGAGGCTCTTTTAATATTACATCTGCTTGCATTTCCCTTCCTCAGGTCAGGCACAGTGGTGTACCTAGGGGGGGCAGTAGTTCTCTTGCCTCCCCTGGGAGTTCCAAAAATACAAAATTAAAAGGAAACTACGTTTAGAAAGTAACACCTGACAATGACAAAGACTAAGGATTTGTCTAAATTCACTGTTAATACAAGGAGAGAAAATTTTTAGCCTTCTAAAGAGAATACTTCATTTACACAAGATGTACTATGACGGAGAGCAGACTTAACGATCTTGCACTTATAGCTTTACACCCTATAGGGCTGTCTGAGCTCTCTACTGAAAAAAATCATTGAAATGTTTGTGCAAGCAAATCCCAGAAAATTGCAGCTTAAAAGATTTGGTTAAAATGTAGATTGAGTAAATTCTATCTAAAAATTTCAGAAGAAATTTCGTTTATTCGTAAAAATATAATTTTTAATGATGCTGTGATTATTGATTTAGTTAGCTGTGATGGAGTTAAGTGATACATTTATAAAGTCAAAAAGTCAGTTTTTCAAGCAAAGGAATAATTTTTAGACTCTAAGGTTAGAAACACCCAAAAAGTAGTCTTTTTGGTGTATTTTTATGGTGAACAAAATAAGTCCAGGTGGGAGAGGGGGGGGGCAAAAAAAATTTAAAAAAGGTATTAATATTTTTTCAAAAAAGGGGTTTTAAGGGGGGACCAATGTTGCCAAGGGGGGGGACCAAAAATTTTTTTGTGCCCCCCCCTAAACAAAAGCCCTCGTACGCCCCTGCGGACACTTTAAAAAAATAATATTGAAAGGACGAGGATTTTGAGGTGGTTCGGACGAGAAAATGAGGAGAATGTGGTTCGGACTAGAGATTGATGTGGTTGGCCTTCCTCCCCTCCAACGACATTCAGTATAATGTTCTGAATGTACTGTATGACTGTCAAAAATCAGCTGAGTGTTGAGTACACATTCTCCAAACCAAATTTAGAATGACGGAAATAAATTTTGTGCCAACACCCTCTCTCTGTAAGTTCTAAACTTGTCAAGTTAAAAGTCGGAACCAATTAATTATTTTAGAAAACAAATAAACGACATTAAAGTCTGTTTCTTAGTTTGTAAAGGTGAATACGCTAGTAAGTGGTGGTGAACACTGAAGCTAAGTTCTATTTACAGCTTGCTATCCCCCGGCCCTTATAAGCAAAGATGCCATGTAATACGAAAGCGTTCGGTAATTTCATAATATACGATTTTTGGACCCCCCCACCCCTCCTTTAAATTGGGTCTGTCCTAGTGAACGATTTTTGCTGAAAAATAATTGGTCATGTACAAAATTTATTGGAGGGAGGGGAGGGGGGTCCCAAAAATTTTGTTCATGACCTCTCATCTATGGTTAGATTAAATTAAGACAATTTCTGGGCCGAGCGCTGCGGCTAGGACTGGCTAAGGGGCCGAGCGCTGTGGCTAGGATAGGCCAGGGGGCCGAGCGCCGCGGCTAGGATAGGTTAGGGACCAGGCGCTGTGGCCACATGATCAATTATATCCATGTATAAAAATTAAAAGGAGGGGGGGAGGGGTCCGAAAATCGTTCTTTATGAAATCACCCAGTTTTGTACATAAAGCTCATATGTTACACATGATAATAGGATTATAGTTGGACATATGGGTGCAGCACCCGGTCACCTGGCCTGTCCTAGCCATGGCGCTTGGCCCCTAGCATGTCCTTGCTGTAGCGCTCGGCCCAAAATTGTCTTAATCTAACTTTACCCTGAAGTAATACAAAATAAATATTGTTAAAAATTAAATTAATAAGACGGGAGGTTCTATTGGACAGAACTAAAAAGAAGTATTTTAATTTTTTGGCATTTTATGGTAAATTTTCTCTATTTCAGAACGTGGCAGAATATTCAAATATGGCAAACGGAGGTGGAGGGGCAGGTCCCCAGGTAGGTTTTTCTCTTGAGGGAGGGATCAGTTCTCCAGGTAGGTTTTCTCGTTAGCAAGGAGGGAGTGGATCCCCAAGTAGGTAGGTAGGAAAGCTTGAAGAAGGGAGGGAATATGAAGACGGGTAAGGTTTTCTCTTGGGAGTGAAGGGCATGTCCCAAAAGTAGGTTTTCTCATGAGAAGGGAGGGAGCAGGTCTACATACTTAGGTTTTCTCTTGAGAAGAGAGGGAACAGGACCCCAGGTAGGTTTTCTCTTGAGAAGAGAGGGAACAGGTCCCAAGGTAGGATTTCTCTTTAGGAGGGATGGAGATATTGCTCAAGTAATGTTTCTATTTTGCAGTTTTTATTTAATTTTGATGCGGATCCGACTCAGTTCGGGATCCTTGATCCGAACTTGAAAAAAGTTAATCCGGATCCAGGTCATTTCAAAATTAGAAAATTTGAAATTTCTGCTTTGTTAAAAAATAATACAGTAAATCTTAAGATTTCCTGTATTCACTGTGTTTACTGTCTTACAGAATTTTTAAATTTTTTGTCTTATTTTTTCCCTTGTTTTTATGCCAAAACTTGATGAACCATTCAGAAATCAAGAGAAAGTTTTATAATCTCTTTTTTTTAATAGTTAAGATTTGGGTTTTGAAAGAGAGTTAAAAAATAATCTCTTTTGCAGTTTTTGGTTAATATTTTGCCCCTTGTATCCGGATCCATGGACCCGCATATTTTTGTGGATCCGGATCCAGGAAGCCAAAATCTTGCGGATCCGTCGGATCTGCATCCGGATCCTGAGCACTGCTAATTGGGTAATCTAGTTTGTAATGATATGTTTAACAATTATTCTTGTCTTCAGGGAGAACTACAGCTTCTAGAACGTGTATTTCTACGTCTTGGTGTGGCGGATACAGATGATCAACTTCAGGAAACCAACCCAGTCATTTTCATTCCAGTTTTGTTTTGGTTCAGTTTTTATTCTAGTCTAGTCTTAGTTATTCCAGTCCCGTCCTGCTTGATTTTTTATTCTTTCAGTCCCAGACTACCCTTACTACCCCAACTACCGTCTGTTTTTAGAGAGACCCCACCCCCACCCTTGAAGGTGAATCTGATTGGCAACTACCCTTACTACCTCAACTNTCTGTTTTTAGAGAGACCCCACCCCCACCCTTGAAGGTGAATCTGTATAGGAACTACCTTCACTACCCCAACTACCTTCAGTTTTAAAGAGACCCCATCCCCACTGTGATTATTCTTTGCGCAAAATGGATATCGATTCCCATTAAATAAATTGTTTTAAGCTTGTTTCCGGCATTCATAACACTCTCCGACCTTTACTAACCTCACCACCCACCTTCAGAAGGGTCCACATTTTGTAGTCGAAAAAAAAGGCATTTTATACATACAGGTCCTTTCCTGGTTACTCTAGTTGATAAAATTTAAAATTTAAAATTTTAGTCGTGTACTGATTCTTTATTTAAATTTTCTAGTCCTTTTTGTTTAGTCCTATCCTGAGTTAAAGGTTCCGCAAAAAAATTTGGGACCGATCGGTTCAGCCGTTTTGACGTTTATCGGTTACAAACAAACAAGCAATGTTGTATATATAGATGAATTATATTGGAATGGTTTGTTTGAAACCAGGAAGCTGTTTCTAAGTTCCTCCCTCCGGTTCTCCTTAAGCTCAACAGTCAGAACGAGGGCGTGAGGAAGAAGGTAATGGAGCTCCTGGTTCACATCAACAAGAGGATCAAGAACAACAACAATATCCAACTCCCAGTTGAGTCTTTGCTCCTACAATACCAGGTAACAGCCGGGGATTCTTCAGGTAAAGAGTGACATTTAACAGATTGAGACAAAATCAGCCATGTTTACAGGGGTGTATATTTTCTCGAAAAATAATTTTTATTCCGTCAAATTTTTATTTTTTCACTGAAATCATCAAAAATCTATGAAATATATACCCCTGCAGTTTTATGATCTTGGGCAATATTATCAATAAATGAAGATTGAAGACCCCTTGGATCTTTCACTGATAACCTCCATGAAGACCGAGGACGGAAATTTTACAGGATAAAATGGAGATTTACAGACCAAACTTCGAATTTCAAACGACAATAAAAGGTCATGTACAAAATTTATNTAAACTTCAAAATTTCATATCAATTATTTGTATTTTAAGGATCCTTCTGCCACCTCCTTTGTAGTTAACTTTACCATCATTTACATCAAGATGGGGTTTCCGAGGTTAATATCATTTTATTTTTATTTTATATGTTTTATTTCATTGATCTTGTCTTGTGCTCTTGTGCTCTGTTAATTATTATTTTATGTCTTTCTGATCCTTTTATCTTTAAACGTTAAGTTATATTGTTAGAATCCCCCGTCAAGGAGTGTATGTTTTCTCAAAAAATTATTCACCCCCCCTTTGAAAATCATCTAAAATCATTCCCCCTCCCTGTTAAAAAAGGAGCGAGTAGCATTATATGTGTGGGAAATCATGCATAAAAAACGAGATCCTATTCTGTCTGATACATTCGACGCGGTGATCGGAGCACGTAACGACCCGTGGGCGAGAATGGTTGGTTGCTGATTTGGGACTTGATGTGTTTGAAGGTCCTAAAACTAGGCTGAAGAAGAGACTTACCGAAACGTCAGTAAAAGGGGTCCTGGAGCAGAAAAGACAGTTTGTGTCCCTCAACTGTATGCCAACCCCCCAAGTCTGGTTCAAACTCCAGCCACATGTATGCGATAGCAAGGTAGGGGGTGTATTGAACAGATTGAGAGCCGGGGATGTAGGGCTTGGAAATCGACGCCCAAACATCCATGGCTCCGTCACAAAATGGTGTCCGCTATGCCTAAGTAAAGGGATAGTTAACCACCTTTCGGAGCATCACGTTGTTGTATCCTGTCAAGCAGTAGCCTATGAGAGGTCTACAACAGGGCTAGGAGCCCTTATGACAGGGAGGCCACGGAGCAGCACGGCAATCCTTACTGGGATATTAGGGGGAGATAATGTCTCAAAGGAAGTGCTGCTGAAAAGGACCGAAAAGATAAACTTACTGCTGGAGCGGTGGATGGATTTGTCAGGAACAGCTTAAATGCGGGTAACCTCTTTTCTTCGCCTAAAGGGTTGTTTGATAACCAACCATCCAATGGAGTTAATTGATGAGCCACTGGCTGGATAGTATCACCTTTTTATCTTCTGACAATGGTCTAATTGTTGTGGGTATAAAGGTCCAGTTAGAGTAGGTGTGGGACGGTGCTTCCCATGCCTGCCGACGGTCTGGGGGGTTCATAACGGGACCTCTTTTTCAGATTTCTTTTCAAATAGTTCAAATAGGGGGGAAGGGGTACAAACATAAACCCCTATATTAACTACTTTATATTAGATTAACCCTGGAGAAGCAAGTAGAGTTAATCCCTAGTGTCTTGGCGGGTATAGAAGCTAAACCAACTAGTCACCAGGTTAATGAACATGTACTATTGTACTCTAGTAGTGTACTGTATAGAATATAAACCAACTAGTCACCAGGTCAATGAACATGTACTATTGTACTCAAGTAGTATACTGTATAGAAGCTAAACTAACTAGTCACCAGGTTAATAAAAATGTATTATTGTACTCTAGTAGTGTACTGTATAGAAGCTAAACCAACTAGTCACCAAGTTAATGAAAATGTATTATTGTACTCTAGTAGTGTATAGAAGCTAAACTAACTAGTCACCAGGTTAATAAAAATGTATTATTGTAGTATAGAAGCTAAACCAACTAGTCACCAAGTTAATGAAAATGTATTATTGTACTCTAGTAGTGTACTGTATAGAAGCTAAACCAACTAGTCACCAGGTTAATGAACTTGTATTATTGTCCTCTAGTAGTATACTGTGTAGAAGCTAAACCAACTAGTCACCAGGTTAATGAACATGTATTATTGTACTCTAGTAGTGTACTGTATAAAAGATAAACCAGCTACTCACCGGGTTAATAAATATATAAGATATCTACTACTTTTATAACTGGAATAACATACACAAACATAATATATTGTACTCTAGTAGTGTACTTTATAGAATATAAACTAACTAGTCACCAGGTTAATGAACTTGTACTACTGTACTCTAGTTGTGTACTGTATACTGTTAAGTATGTTAACCAATGATGAACTAGGATTCCCTGTTGCTAATGCTGATGCCAGTTCTGGGCGAGGTTGCTAAGCATCCCCCTGGAGACCCGGAGAGGAAGAAATCCTTGCTCGGACTCGGCGAGAAACCTGCTGTTTCAAAGGTTAACAATTTTAACAATTAATTTAAAGCAATTTTTTGAGATCTTCCCCACAAATTCAATTATTTTCCAACTAAAAGAATGTAATTTACGAACTTAAAAAAATACAATTACTCTATCAATTTAGGAGGTAAAATGACTATTTACAAGTTTATTTTTTTTAAGAAAATGATTTTTCTCCTGTTTCCGAATGTTTCCAAGCATATTGACAATTTTTATTATTTAATCATTACCCCCCCTCAATAAAAGATAAATACCCAGCCCTATTTGAATATAACTACTTGTTGTTTAATGTAGGTGCTGTATTCCTTTATGTTTGATTACATGCTGCTCCCTTATGGTTCCCATCCTAGTCTCAAGTCTCCTGAGGTTAAGGAATCTCAGGTAAGACCCTTCATCCGCCAGACCGAAACATGTTTAAAAAAAACGCAAAAATAAAATCATTTAATTTTCTCAATTTAGCGAGAGAAAACCGAGGGAAAAAGTTCTTTGATAATTGGGGCAAAAAAAGGAATTATAAAAATCTATATCTGGAATTCAATTTGGAAATTACATCTGTGCAGGTTCCTGCTGGTCTGTCTGATTATGGTTGGAAGAGAGTATCCGGAGAGACTCCTATACCAGCAGAGCAGCTGGAAACAACCAAAACCGGCCTCGTCAAGTTCCTGGGGTCTGGCCTCTTGCCAGAGATGGAGGTTGCGATACATCTGCTAGTAGCGGCCTCTGATACTAGGTAGGACTATTAATCACATTAGTTTAACCTTTTTTTATTTTCTAAATTTGCTCTAAAAAGATTTTTTTTCTTATTTTCACTTGGTACCCATGAAACATTTGTCTGAATGAAGATGAGGTAGATATCGCCGTTTTTATATCTGAAAAATAAATAAATGTTGTAATTTTTCTTTTTCTTACTTACTTGGGGGTTACTTGCGAGGATTCCTTGCCGTCCAAAGTTTTAAAAAGTGATTTTGAGTAGCCTGTTTAAAGGCATATGATGGCATCCGATGCAGATTCTGAAATCCGTAAGCTTGGTGGATTTGTTATATTTTCCATGCTTTGAGGCATATTGTGGCATCCGCCGCAGATTTGGAAAACCATAAGCTTGGCGGAGTTATTATATATCCCCTGCTTTAAGGCATATGGTGGCATCCGCCGCAGATTCGGAAAACCGTAAGTTCGGCGGAGTTATTATATATCCCCTGCTTTAAGGCATATGGTGGCATCCGCCGCAGATTCGGAAAACCGTAAGCTCGGCGGAGTGATTGATTGGAATGATCCAGACTTAGTCCGGAAATTGTATTCGCTTTTCTTAGGAACACTAGTTATTAAGGTAAACAAATTTTCTAACAAATTTTAAAGAAAATTGAAATTAAAAAAACTTAAACTTAATGTTTTTAGCCGTAAGTATAAATTATTAAGTTAATAATTGAGTAAAAGGCAATGCTGGTTAAAGTCAATCGTTGAGAAAATTACGAATCTTTCAAGAAAGTTACAAGTTTAAACAACTGGAGATAAAAGTACCCTTTTTTTGGATATTAATATCAAGGTTTAAGATCAACAATTTACAAACAAAAGTCCTGATCTCTTGACTTAACTGAATATCCAGTTCAAAAGTCTCAAGCTCTGTCAGTGATCAAATTTGTCTTTTTTTATTTTCTTCATTTATGGTTTTCTTCAAAACAAGAATCTTTAACTTGTTTTGGTTTTTAAATAACATCTGGTATGAACTATCGCAAGAGTAGTTATAATTGATGAGCTTGATTTTGTTTTTATGATTTAAACTGATAACATAAAAGTATGTGTTTATGATAAAGATAGGTTTTCTAAGTAAAAAGAAAAGAAAAAACATTTACAAAGTTTTTTTAAAAAAATATTGAAAATTTGAAAATGTTTCCTTTGCAGGATCGTCCGACGGTTAAACCGGAGCATAAACGGCAGCCGTCGAATACAAGAATTCGTCTGAAGTTGATGCCGGTGCTGATTAAATCTAGAGAGGCGGCCGTACAGTTTCCTTCTTGTATTCAGGTACAGACCCCACCCCCTACCCGTCCTTGAAGTACAGTGTCCTCGCCCTTCCCTTCCTTCTTGTATTCAGGTACAGACCCCACCCCCTTCCCTTCCTTGAAGTACAGTGTCCTCGTCCTTCCCTTCCTTCTTGTATTCATTTGAAAGTTATGGTCCTCTCACCTGGCGGCGGTCTGGGGGTCCATTACGGGTTTCTTAACAGATTCCTTTTCTTATTAGTTCTTATTTACAGGCAACACGCCTTATTTTAAGCCAACAATATTATTTCTGTGATCATTAAAATTTGCTGAGAGGGTTCTCGTTAAAACCCCAAAACTTAAAAAAGGAATTTTAGTTTTGATCTGACTTTTTATAAATCTTACTCAGGTGACTTTGGACCTTAATAAATCTTACTCAGGTGACTTTTGACCTTTATAAATCTTACTCAGGTGACTTTTGACCGTTTTATATCCTACTCAGGAGACCTTTGACCTTTATAAATCTTACTTTGGTGACTTTTGACCGTTTTAACTCTTATTCAGGCGACTTTAGACCGTTATAAATCTTACTCAGGTGACTTGTTATCGTTATAAATCTTACTCAGTTAACGTTTGACCGTTTTATTTCTTAAAAGGTGACCTTTGACCTTCATAAAGCTTACTCATGTGACCTTTGACCTATATCAATTTTACTCAGGTGACTTTTGACCTTCTGTTCGGAACGAGTGGTAACTCTAACCCTAAACTGAAGATGATGGCTGTTCAGTTTGTTCATCAAATTATTCACCATTGTCCTGAAAACAGACTAAGGTAAAAAATAAAACTTTTAATAAAGTTTTAAATAATTTTTAGATTTTTCAGTTTTTTACAGGTTTTATTGTGTTCTCAAACTATGATTTCATTGTCAATATTGCTCATTTAATAAATCATTTTCCGAACCTAAATATTATATGTATATTGTATAGTCCTATCGGAGCTGTGATATTAACTGCTTTAACCCGCCTTGTAACTGAAGAAAAGGATAATCCAAAACTTAGAGGATCTTGTTATGTTGCTGTAGGTAGGATTTATAACTGATTTTGGTGTAATGTTGCTGTAGTTAGGATTTATAAATAGTATTGGTGTTATGTTGCTGTAGGTAGGATTTATTACTAGTATTGGTGTTATGTTGCCGTAGGTAGGATTTATTACTGATGTTTGTGTTATGTTGCTGTACGTAGGATTTATAACTGATTTTGGTGTTATCTTGCTGTAGGTAGGATTTATTACTAGTATTGGTGTTATGTTGCTGTAGGTAGGATTTATATCTGATTTTGGTGTTATGTTGCTGTAGGTAGGATTTATAACTGATTTTGGTGGTATCTTGCTGCAGGTAGGATTTGTAACTGATTTTGTTGTTATCTTGCTGTAGGTAGGATTTATTACTAGTATTGGTGTTATGTTGCTGTAGGTAGCTTTTATATCTAATTTTGGTGTTATGTTGCTGTAGGTAGGATTCATAATTGATTTTGGTGTTATTTTGCTGCAGGTAGGATTCATAACTGATTTTGGTGTTATCTTGCTGTAGGTAGGATTTATTACTAGTATTGGTGTTATGTTGCTGTAGGTAGGATTTATTATTAGTGTTGTTGTTGGTGTTGATGTTGTGGTTTTGGTGTTGTTCTTAGTTTTGTTTTTAGTGTTGAAATTGGTGTTCGTTTTGGTGTTGGTGTTGGTGTTGGTGTTGGTGTGTTTATGGTGTTTTGTTGTCATTTAAGGTGTTGGCGTATTTCGCGTTGTTATTGCAGTTTTTTAAAATTTTGTTGTCTTTGTTTTGGTGATGATTTTTTGTTTTGTTTTAGTTTTCATTTTTGGTGCTGTTCTTGTTGTTGGTACTATTATTGCTGAATGGCGAATGCTTATATAATTTTTGTCAATTGTGAAAAGTTTTTCTTACTATCTTGCGTAGTTATCTTTATTTGTTCCCCTGAGATGGATTTTAAAGAATTTGAGCCGCGGTTAAAATCTGCCAAAACCCGGTTTAAATTAGGCGCCGGCTTAAATCTTGAAACATTTGATACAATTTTAAGTGGAAGCCGCTCAAATTTTTTAAATTCGGCCACTGGATAAACTACGGTGGCGAGGAGCGTCGCCCCATATTTCATTGAATAATGAGTTGTATACCAACAATTATAATTATAATACTGTTGAATATTGTTTAGGTAAACTTGGCTTAAAAATTCCTAGTCTGGTGAACAAGGATATGACGATGATAACAAAGTTCTTCGACGGGATGTCCACAGAGGATTCAGACACTCAGCTTAGTCTTAGGGTTAGTCAATCAATCAAGCGAGCAAAATGTCAATCAATCAATAAATTAATCAGCCAATCAATCAATTAAGGAGGCAAAACATCAATATAATAATTAAACCATCGATCAATTTATCAAAACAGTGATCAATTAAACAAACTCAGTTGAAAAACACCAATCAATCAAACAATCAATCAACTCAACAATTAATCAATCAACCAGATTAAAAATCATTTTAGAAAAGCGTAAATCAAAAATCAATCAAACTTTTATTTAATCAATCCCGCATTCTATCATTAAGTAAACTTAAGATCGCTTAAAACGAGAAATGATTTTTTGTCCATTAGATATATTTACTTTTTTAGGAAGCCCTCGGTATAATGACACCAGCCTTCAGAGCTATAGACTCGGAAAACAAGTAAGTTTGATAAAACTAGAAGCTTAAGTTTACCAACCAAAAAACATTGAATTGATGAAACTTCATTAAAGTAAATGATTGTTGATCTGTTCGTTAATAAGGCATGTTTCGGGGTTTAAGACAAATCATCAAAATTTATATGATTTTTTATCTCTGTTTCATTATAGAAATGTTTCAGAATGTCTGATATATCCTAAATAATATTTCCCTTATTCTTGTAATTAAGAAAATAATCAAATTCTATTGTTTATTGTTTAGAAAGTATATAGAGGCGATGCTAGCTACCTATATAGAGAAGGATGGGGTTCAGGTCAAACTGGTCACAATTCAGTACGCTTCGGACGTCTTCCCTCATGATAATGTTGCAACAAGGTAAGACTGTGATAAAAAGTGTTTTATTCTTATGAGACAAGGATAGGAAGAAGTTTATGAATAGAAGCCAGGGAAAGGGAGGAGGGTTATGCACAGGAGAAAGAGATAGGGAGGAGGGTTCAGAAGAAGAAGCTGTGATAGGGAGGGGGTTATTTACAGGAGACAGGGACAGAGAGGGGTATATGTACAGGAGACAGAGACAGAGAGGGGTATATGTACAAGAGACAGGGATATGGAGGAGTTTATGTACAGAAGACAGGGATAGGGAGGGGTTTATTTACAGGAACCAGGGATATAGAGGGGGTTATGTACTGTACGTACAGGGGACAAGAATTGGGAATGGTTTATGAACAGGAGACTGGGATAGGGAGGGGTTTATGTTCAGGAGACAGGAATAGGTAGTGGTTCATGTACAGGATACAGGGATAGGGAGGGGTTTATGTTCAGGAGACAGGGATAGGGAGTGGATTATGTACAGGAGAAAGGGGGTAAAGGGAGGGGTTTATGTACAGGAAACAGGATGAAGGGGTAGTTTCCTGAAACATTTGAAACAATGGAGTGACTTGGATTATTACTTAATAGCAGACAAATTTAATAACCCCAAGCTGTTTTTTGATTTATTTAAATCATTTGAATTGTTTTAGGTACACCCTACTACTGGGGGCAGGAGATAAGAAGGATGAAGTGGCAACCGCAGCTAGAAATGCTCTTTACTCTGCTATAAGGAGGGCAAATAATCAGGTAATGGGATTCAATCAGGATTTAAGATTTTTCTTTATTTTATTCAATTTATTCAGTTTGTGATGTTTAGTGTCGGAAAGTGAAATTTAATTTTAAAAAATCTTGATATTACGTGTCAAAACTACAATTCAAAATGGTGGATCTTGATGTCACGTGATAAAAATTGTAATTCAAAATGTCTTACCATGATGTCATGGTTTAAAACTACAATTTAAAAATGTCGGATCTAGATTCCACTTTTTAAAACTTAAAACAAAACTAAACTTTAAAGTGGCGGATCTTGATGTCACATGGTAAAAAATATAAATTCAAAATGACGGATCTTGGTGTCACATGGTAAAAATATAAATTCAAAATGGCGGATCTTGGTGTCTTATGTTAAAATTGTAATTCAAAATGACGGATCTTGGTGTCGCATGTTAAAAATGGAATTCAAAGAGGCGGATCTTGATATTATGTTGAAAAATTATAATTTAAAATGGTGGATTTTGATGTCACTTGATAAAAATTTTAATTCAAAATGTCTTACAAAGAAACCATGATGTCAGGTGTCAGAAACTTAGTTTTGGTTTCCTGGTCATGGTAGTCACGTTTAAATGTTAAGGACAATGGTATCTTGAAGACTAAGAAGCTAGGAAGTGAGGCCTTGTTGCCTGATTTCCTGCAGATCTTGAGCTACGTGATGGACAAGGCGGGAATACGAATGAAGAGTTCGTACAAGCAAGTTGTTGGAAGTGTTACTATCCCTTTCTCAATCAAAACAGGTGGGTCATCTCGGAATAATTTTAGAAATCATTCCTGTTGGACAGAAAAAAATGAAAAACAGAACTTAAACTTGAATTAGAATGATTCCCCTCCCCCTTTTTATATTTTTCTTAAACAATTCATTAAAACTCATGTTCATTAGTTAATTAATAATCTTAATTTAAATTTTTTATTCTGCATTTGGCATGATATTGATAAGTGTTAAAACCATTTATTAGATTTGTTTATTAATTGATTTATTATAGTTGTTGGTTGACTGACTGATTGATCGATTGATTAATGGGTTGATTGCTTACTTGATTGATTGATTATTCTTGTTAATTAATTGAATGCATTGAATGATTTTTCTTGTAAAGTAATTGATATCACTTATTGAATGAATGAATGATTGTTTGATAGAATTCTTCATTAATTAATTATTTTGCTAGGTTCTGAGGTATGTGATTATGTCAGGTTATGTCTATGGAACTCCTCTGGTGTACTCCCTGACCCCGAATACCTGGCTGAACCACAGCATGAGGCACCAACAGTAGCGAGGTCAGAAACTCGACTTTTCATTTAATAAAAGGGACTGTAGAAGTAATTTTAAGTGACCCTTCTTTGAAAGAGTTGCATGCTTGATTCACAACGGTACCTAGAGAAAAATGAGGAAGCTATCAGCGTAAGTGTTGAATTCTGACAATTTACATCCGTGTTCAAGTATGTTGGTTGGAAATTTTCAATTTTCAACTAGAAAACCCGGGATATCTTATTCCTTTTTCTTAGAATTTGTTCTTAATCTGGCATAGCCCTCTTTAATAAGAAGTTTATCAGTCAATAATTTCGACAATCCCTTTCAGCACTTTTTCATATCTCTATCATGACTATTTGAATTAAAGCAAATCATTAAAATGTTGAAAAATTTATGATTTATTTATTTTAAAAATGTTTAGATATTTGAACAAGCTGGTCGGAGATGGATCTGGAAAGAAAAAAGATATTCTATTCAAATTTGCAGATTTAGGTAAGCTTAGGCGTGTTAAAGTTAGTTTGGGCTAGTTTTGGCTAGTTTAAGTTATTCTAAAATCACGCAACCTCTTTCATTAAAGCCCACTGGGTCTAAGTTTACTTTTTTTAACTGATATAGAACTGCCTGTAGCAATAATAAGGATTTTATTGCAAACAAACTGGTCAATGAAATATAGATGTCTCAGGCAGCTCGCCTATTGTAAGTCTTCTCCCACGGGAACGCGGACTGCGGGATTCATGGATCCGTTTCGGCGGCTAGGAGCGCTTACCCCTATTTTACCGATTGCAGGGTTGTTCATAAATAATAATGATTAAGTAAAAGATTCAACTCGTTAGGCTCCTATTTTTTTTAATTTGAATCTTAGGATGCTTTAAAAACGAACTTTGTTGTTTAGTTGAGAAGATGATGACAGGACAGCCCAATATGCCTCCTGCTCTCGCCCTTCTTCATCTTATCGGTGTTGCGCCCAAGGAACTGGGGTCAAGGTAATTTTTATTTTCTCATATTTTCCAAAATGTAAACGTATTTCTTTGGTTTAAATGGACTTTAAGCATAATTTCAAGTGACCCTCCATGCAAAGATGACAATGCCAGATTTTCAGTGGTACCCGTGCAAAGGATTGTCTGATCAAGTATGAATTAGGATTATTTTCACTTGAGGAGTTATGGTAAGACTGAAGTCAGTACCATTTTTTTCAAAATCGAAATTTTCCTTTCAAAATTTTATTTTTTTATTATTTCACGGACAACGCCGGGCACTTCAGCTAGTAAATATATATTTGTATGCATAAATATACATATGTTAGCAGTTAGCTATAAGTTGCCAAACTGCTGGACCAAATTGGCTGATTTTTTTTGGATCCCTTTGGTTCCCCCGGGGAAACATAGACCATAACAAATTTAAAATGTTTGAGAGTCCACAGGCAACATGGGCCACTGCTAAAATCATAATTTAAGACCAAGTGCGGGTAAACGGCGAGAGTAACTATGAGTAACCTGGGCATCGCCGGGATCTCCAGCTAGTAATAATTATAATAATTAGATGGACTGGAAAGATGGATTGGTTGAGAGGGTTACTGTCCAACACGAGGGAGGAGTTGAGGGAGACGGTGGCGAGCATCTACGGATTGGTGGCCGGGAACCTCGACAAGGAGGACTTCGAGCGTATCTTGAAGGATTTGTCTCGGGGGTTCAAGGAGAAGCAGCTGGAGCTCCAGCACGGGGTTCTACTGGCTCTAGGACATTCATTTGGTCGGAGAATACTTCTCAGCCGGGTTAACAACCAACTGATCAATATTCAGGTAAACAACAAAAGAATAAATAATCACCAAATATAATTAAAAATTATAATAACTTATAATAAATCATGATAAAAATAAATAAAAATTGATAAAAATTTACAAAATTATTTTTTGATTGATAAAAAAATTTAATTTTCTAAGTCAATGATGATAAGGCTTAAGTTTCAAAAAAAGGTAGTAATATATATTATAAAAGGGAGGTGTACTAATCTTCAGAGAATTTTTAGTAATAGTTATTTTTGATTACAATTTTGAGGAGAGGTTGTGATTTGTCATTAAGTTGTATCTTTATCAGGATTGGAGTCTGTTTCGTGATAGCTGTATGCTGATCATAAACCAGCTGGAGGCTGCTCAGAACCTCCTGATTACTGGAGGCTGTCTAGCCTTGTCAGAGATATCACGCTGCAGTCCTCTACCTCTGGAGGATACAGGTGAGCTACATTTAAAAATAAGGACATAGATTTTTTAAAAAGGTTTCAGAAAAATATAGGGTTCTTTCTAAAAAACCTTAGAATTATTAAATTGTTTGTTGTTTGTTTTTTTATTAATCATTGGTTGATAGATTGATTCGAGGGGTTGATTGTTTGATTGACTGATTTTCTAAGTTAAATTAATTTTTTTGATATTTTTATTTCTCCAGGAGATGAAGCAAAGCTGGACAACAAGCTTGGACTGGTTGAGAAGTTACTGAGTATCCTGCGCTCGGTCAAGATGAACATGAAGGTCCGTGAACGTGCTGCAAGTGCGCTTGGTAACCTTTGTCTTGGTGAGGCCAGATTTCCACACCGAAGGCTGATGATGGAAAAATTCCTTGAGGCGGCGCAGGTTAGAAACATATATTGTACAATATCTCAATACTCTTTACAACGTACGTACATCGCGGAGTTACTGTACTAATAAAATTCTAATATTTAGGAGATTAAAGATATTGAACTTCACTTCAGTATTGGAGAAGCTTTGGTCCACTGTGCTCTTGGACCTCGATCTCCTGATGCTAGGAATGTCTGGACTGTTCAGAAGGTTTATATTTCTTTCTTCTTGACTTTTCAAAGTTAAAAAGGTCTCATGGCGGTCTTGGTATTTCATCCATTCCACGATCTTAACTTTGCCTATATCCTTGTTACAATTTTTTATTTATTGAAAGAGAATCGCTGGGGTTATTCCTGGCCCCAGGCAATCCCACCCATCAGCCCTAATGACACGTGTATTCCTCACGAATCAGTATCAGAACACACAAGTGAAATAAATAACCTTCATTTACCTTGTTTATTTCTCCAGGAAGACTATGTTCCTCTGGAGACAGTTGAGGAAGCTGACCTTGTTTGGTTGGTGGATCGCTTAACCGGTCATCTGACCCAATCAACACATCCTAACTTGAAGCAGGCGGGGTGCTTGTGGCTACTTGCTATTACCAAGCATTGCACTGGTTTGTCAATGATTTCATTATTGTCCCTTTTTTTATTCTTAAATTGATGAATTTGTTTCGATCTTAATGCTTATATTTGGGAATTATTCAATACTGGCAAATCGCATTTAATCGGTTTGATCAAGGCTTTTTTTGGTAGTTTTTAAACAGTGTTTGTTTAGGAGAAGAAGCTGTGAAATCTCAACTTCTGCGCATTCAGTCTGCGTTCATGTCTCTTCTGGGAGACAACAACGACCTGGTCCAAGATGCTGCTAGTAAAGGAATTGCTATTGTGTATGAGAGCTGTAGTGAAGATCAGCAGGAGAAGATGGTAGGTAACCTACTGGACACGCTCTTGGGAAGTGGGAAGAAGGAGGTAAATAAGGTGAATGAGAACACAAAGGTGTTCCAGGAAGGGGAAATGGGTAAAAATCCTGTAACAGGTGGAAACTTGTCAACCTACAAGGAACTGTGTAGCCTGGCAACTGACATGGGTCAACCTGACCTTGTGTACAAGTTTATGCATCTAGCAAACTACAATGCTACCTGGAACTCCAGGAAGGGAGCCGCATTTGGCTTCTCATCTATAGCCTCCCTAGCAGGAGCACAGCTTGAAGAGCATCTACCCAAGATCATACCAAAACTTTACAGATATCAGTTTGATCCAACTCAAAGGATTCAACAATCAATGTCTGCCATCTGGTCTGCCCTTGTGCCAGAGACCACGAAGACGGTGGACAAGTATTTGCCTGAGATACTTGCAGAACTTCAGAAAGAACTGACCTCGCCACAGTGGCGGGTTCGTGAGTCTTGTTGTACTGGCATAACTGATATTCTTCGCGGAAGAACCTTGGATAGTTGTACCGACACCTTGTCCCTCCTCTGGTCTGACATTTTCAGGGTTATGGATGACATTAAAGAATCGGTTAGAGTTGCAGCATTTAAAGCCGCGCAGAGTTTAACTCGGGTGTCCATCAAGATGTGTGATATCTCATCAGGAGCTAAGTCTGGAGAGAACGCAATCAAAGCAATTCTGCCACCACTGATGAACAATGGACTTGCTTCCAGTGTCACTGAAGTCAAAGCTATTTCTATCGCCACCCTGATGAAGATTACTAAGTCAGCAGGTCCCCTCCTAGGTCCACATCTTCATATCCTGATCCCTGCCCTCCTTGAGGCTACTAGTGAGGTTGAAGGGAGTGAGATTAGTTATCTTTCAACTAAACTAGGCGTGGATGCGGACATGCAGGAGAAGCTGGATTCAGCTAGGATTGCTGCCATTACTGCTCATCCAACTATGGAGTGTGTAACCTTCGTTTTGCAGTATGTAAACGCGTCCAACCTTGAACAACTTGTCCCCCGCCTGGTTGATCTGATCAAGTCCTCCCCTGGACTTGTAACCAAGGGTGGTACTGCTGCTGTGGTGAATAATCTGACCCACCAGTGCCCCATTGATCTTCAACCATACACAGGCAAACTACTCTCGGCACTTGTTTCTGGGCTATCTGATCGGAATCCAGCGGTGCGTATGGTTTACGCAAAATCAATTGGACAGCTGATGCGTACAGCTAAGGATACGAGCAAGGAAAAGCTGTTTGCTAAGCTGAAAACCTGGTATATGGAGAAGGAGGATGATGTGAGCAAAGCTGCAGTAGCATACACCTTCCAGGTTAAAACACATTGTAATTTTTTAAACAAAGATGGGTACTCTTTTAAAAAGATAAATTGTTAAAGCCTCAAAAAGTTTGTATCCTTTTTGAAACGAGCATTTTTCTTTGGAGAAAAGTTTTTGTAAGGGGGAGGGGGGGGGGGGCACGCAATCTGTATATTTCATGCATTTTTTGGTTTCAACGGATCTGAGCAAAACTGGGCGCGTGCTTTTTTTGTGAAAAATACAACTTTTTTGACCGTAAATCAATCTTAACTTCATTTATTGCACTTGAACTTTAACCCTGATACGCTTGAAACAAATATGCGCTCTTTAATTTCAATATTCATTTTTACCTCGTACATTAAATCCTCATGCCCAATTTCTTATAAAACGACATACAGCACGTAAAATCTGTGTTTAGATGACCCTTAATGTAATGGCTGGCTGCTAGCGCACCGGTCAGAATGCTCCAATATTTTTATTGACCTTAGAAATGAATTCCTCGTGTCCAATTACCTATAAATTGACATACAAAATGCATCTGCATAAAGTAACTGCTGGCTGCTAGCGCGCTGGTCAGAATGCTCCAATGTCTATTTTGAACTCGGAAATGAATTCCTTGTCTCATTTTCGCTAGAATTTGATGTATCTCATGCTACTTTTATTCTAACTTAGGCCAAATTTATTTTTTATTTATTTATTTTTTTTAATAGTATCTAGTGCAATTAATTATGTTGCGAGAGATTTACCGTCAACTAAGTCGATTTTTTTATTTAACGCGCGCGCACGTTTGCTCAGATCTGTTCAAAACCCAAAAATCATATATTATACACATTTTTAAGTTAGCATGCAAAAAAATCAGCTTACTAAGATCATACATTTCGTGCCCTTTTATGTTTGAAGATTTTTCCATGGATATGCATTCAAATTGATATTGTAGTTAGAATTAAACAAATGCACAATGCATAAAACTTGCAAACACATTTCAATTTTTTCAGGGAATCAATCGCTACAGCCCTGATGTGATGAAGAGCTACGCAAGCGTGGCGATGCCAATAGCGTTCCTAGCGATGCATGAGGAAAAGCGTGTTGAAGGAGGAGGACTACAGGAAGTGTGGGAGGAAGTATGGAACGAAGGAACACCAGGAAGTGAGGGAGGGATTAGACTTTACTTATCAGAGATAATGGACATACTTCCTAAGGTGAAATGTTTTTAAGTTGCTTAGTACTGAAATAAATTATTCAGCCACAGGAGAAATATATTTTTCATATTTAAGTGGAAAGAATGATTTGCGAGGAGAGTTAGCCTCGTTTGATAATTTCTACTAAAATATTAATAGAAATGGAAATAATTTATTTTCCCAAAATTCAGCGATACGAATACATTTTGCAACATTCTAAATCATTGCAAAATATTTTGGTCTCAACGAATAAACACAAATTTTTTTTAACGAGCCATTTTTTTCTAAGTGGAAAATAAATTATTTTTTGAACATGCATTTTATATGCTTTTCAGGCTTCCTGATTGTTTAGAAATTATTTTGAAAGTCGAAGAAAAATTGTTTATATATTTTCATAAGGAGAAATAAAACGATGTCTTAACAGCTGTACTTCAGGCTCTTGAATCTGGACAGTGGACTGTGAAGGCCCAAGCTGTCAGGGCAATGGGAACTGTTGCAACTAAGCTTGGAGGAACCATCAATCCACAGGTAATCTTATGCATGCTGAAAGGGACTGTTGCGTAAATTCAAACGATTCTCTATGTAGTCCGATTCACAACGGTACCCTTGAAACGATATAGAATATGAAAGTTATGTCGTTTTATAGGTTTGAACATGTTTTATACAATTTTCAATACACTTTCATGCAGTAGAAATGTGCAATTAATTTTTGTGAGAAACCACAGTTTAAAATCGTCAGTTTTCAAAATTATTAACATAAATTCAAATCAAATTCATACATGATGGGACAAAGCATTTAAGGATACCAATGTGAATTGGGGATTGCCATCCACGCATAGTGAGTCACTTAAAATTACGCTTTTAGCCCCTTTAAAGGATTGTTCACTTGTTTGGAAATAAATTAAATACCCAACTTGATCTTATTTACTATTCACGTTGATATTATTGTTTTAAGTTTTAAACGTGTTTGGGACAAATTATTGACTGAATTTAAAAGACCTTTTATAGAGTGGCATGTCCGATTGCCAACGGTACACTTTAAACCTCTGAGAAATATATCGTCGTTTATCTATCTTGAAAAGTGTTAAATTATCACAATTTTCTTCATTGTCTTTTGTATTTATATTCGTAGGTCTTGTCAACAGAGAAAAGACAATTAAAATATTCACTTAAAGCCACCTGAAAAATGGAAGGTCTCTAAAATTACGTCTACAGTCTTTTTAAGCACTCAACAAATCTATAATTGTATATTAGGTTCAGAGAAAGATTGCAACAATGTTGGTGAATGCTTTGGCTGGAAGAACTTGGACAGGGAAGGAGTGTGTTATCAGGTATAATTAAATCTAGATCTGCTGGGCAACTTCTAAAAACAGAATTTGCGGGGGGGGGGGTTATAGTTGAATAAGGTTAATATCTAATTAAGAATTGTGTATTATTTTGATCATTTTCTTTTTTGTGTATTTTTGGAGTTTTTAATTCTGGGGAAATGGATGCTCCAGGATTCTGTAGTTGACAATTTAATGTTTTTTTGATAAGAAAATGTCAAAAATGGGATAAAAGCTTGCAACTTAGTTCTTACTTCAATATCCTCCCCATATGTTACAAAATATTTCCTTAAAATAAAGTTAAGCAACATTTATACGAATTATAAAATTAACTTCCTTTTAAAGATTGGTGAACAGTCCCTTTAAAGCCTGGTGTTTAGGTCCCTGGTAGATCTGGTTGTGTGTGGAGAGGATACAGTGGGTACTAATCTCCAGGGTAGAGCAGAACAGGCTTCAGTTCAATCTATGCTAGATGCTCTTTTCAAGGTACAGTTATCAGGTTGAGATTAACATTAGGATTAAGACTAGGATAAGGATTAAGATTAATATTAAGAACAGGCTTCAGTTCAATTTATCAAATTATCTGAGACTGAGACACTGAGACACAGAGAGACAGAGACTGATTTAAGAACTAAGATCAAAGATCAAGATCAAAATCAAGGTAGAGCATGAGTATAAGCCAATTAATGGACTAGGGAATTGGGAGTCAAAGATACCCCCCCCCCCTCCCCCCAGTTCTAAAGTGGAAATTGATTCCCTGTTTGATTTGATAAATCCTGAGGTTGAATTGAGCAGGACAGCATAAAAAGCTCGGAAATAATTCTGTTCATCTTTAATAAAATATTGTCAAGATTGAAGATAAAAGGGAAATAGATTTCAGTATCATTTTATTTAGTTTTCATTCAAGCCTCCATTTTGTTTTCTTCCGATAAGAAATTTAAATGTTGTTTAGGTTTTGTTTACATAGAAGGGAGTGTTCGCTAAAAATGAAAGGGGGTATAGGCTTACGGCGAAAAATAAGCGATTTTGATCGCTACTAATCTTACTTCTATCTGTTGTGTCTATAATCATTCAGATTTTACAAACAAAAGTCATCGATTATTTTTCGACGCATTCGTATAAAGTTAATTTTTCATATTAGTTTTGATTCTGTTTTTTAAAATAATATTTTGCTGGCGCTGGATTTACAAACATTCCTGGAAAATATGAAAATGTCGTCTTCAGTATCACAAATCCTCGAAACAGGAATAAATGTTTTCAAGAGTAACTATCAGATCATGAAAATTAAACAAAAATATTATGAAATAACAACAATATACGAATGTGTCGAAAAATTATCGATGATTATTAGTTGTAATATATGAATGATTTGTTTGGAATTAAATTGATTTTTTTTAATAATTAAAAAAAAAGATTCTGAAAACGTATACACCCAAAAGTACGATTTTGAACGTCGACTTTGCGCTCAAACGCTGGATTTACAGATCTTTTAAAAGTTTTATTTGTCGCAAATGAATCCTAAAGAATTTGTCCACAGCACTGCATACTCGGTTCAAATACCTTACATAGTCGGTCTCTTCCTTTAATTTTTGCTTGGAAAAATAAAACTTCTGGTTCAAAAAATATATTGATATTTGATAATATCTATATTTAGGAATGTAAGAAGGAGAAAGTAGAATACAGAGTTGTAGCTCTCACCTCTACAGCTACTATTCTACAACATCTTAATTTAGATATGTTCAAGGTAAATTATTTTATTTTAGTTCATTCTAGGAACACCAGGAACTCTGGTTCATTTCAAGTACCAGGTAGACTTTTAACCAGCTAGAGCTGTACAGTATTGTATTCTAGGAGCTGTACAGTATTTTATTCTAGAAACTGTAAAGTATTGAATTCTAGGAGCTGTACAGTATTGTATTCTAGAAGCTTTGCAGTATTGTATTCTAGGAGCTGTACAGTATTGTATTCTAGGAGCTGTACATTATAGTATTCTAGGAGCTTTACAATATTGTATTCTAGGAGCTGTACAGTATTGTATCTGAGCACCTCCCTAAGCCCAAGGAGGATAATGAGAAGGAGAATGAGAAAGAGAAAGAGGAAGAGGAGGATAAGGATGAAAGGAACAAAGATCTAATCCTTCAAGAGGCAATCTTGTCTTCTCTTGGGCTAGCTTGGCCAGACAATATAGAAACACAAGTAAGAGAGACTGTGTTAGCCCATTTGATTTGTAATGCGTATATCGTATTGTTGTTGAACTATCTGTGTTAAGAAAGCGTATATTGTGTTGCAGTTGAACCAACTGTTTTTAGAATGCGTATATTGTGTTGTTGTTGAAACATCTGTGTTCAGAATGCGTATATCGTATTGTTGTTGAACCATCTGTGTTTAGAATGCGTATTTCGTATGGTTGTTGAACCATCTGTGTTTAGAGTGCGTATTTCGTATTGTTGAAACAACTGCGTTTGTATGCGTATATCGTGTTTTTGTTGTTGAACCATCTGTGTTAAGAAAGTGTATATCGTTTTGTTGTTGTTTAAACATCTGTGTTTTAGAATGCGTATATCGTATTGTTGTTGAAACATCTGTGTTTAGAATGCGTATTTTGTATTGTTGTTGAGCCCTCTATGTTTAGAATGCGTATATTATATTGTTGTTGAAACATATGTGTTTAGAATGCGTATATCGTGTTGTTTTTGTTGAAACATTTGTGTTTAGAATGCGTATATTGTGTTGTTGTTGAACCAGCTGGAGATGTTGGTTGGGAACACTACCAGGAGGAACCAGGAGACCCTGGCTGTATCCCTCGGCAGAATAATTGATAAATATCGAGTTCCCGCAGATGTAAACTCGTCACAGGTGGATTTCAATTCAACATCAGCATGGAAAATTAGCCTGGGCTCAGATTTAATCAAAAATGGAAATTAGTTGAATCACGAAAAGTTGTTGCACTACAAACAGTAGCTGAACCACCAAACAGTACTTGAATCACGAAATATAGTTGAACCACGAAACGTAGTTGAACCACGAAAAGTAGTTGAACCACGAAAAGTAGTTGAACCACGAAAATTAATTGAACCACGAAAAGTAGTTGAACCACGAAAAGTAGTTGAACCACGAAAAGTAGTTGAACCACGAAAAGTAGTTGAACCACGAAAAGTAGTTGAACCACGAAAAGTAGTTAAACCACGAAAAGTAGTTGAACCACGAAAAGTAGTTGAACCACGAAAAGTAGTTAAATCACGTAAAGTATTTGAACCACAAGAAATATTTTACAGTAAAGACTAAGCTGAACCACTTCTCTTGTGGGTGGGATCAAATGGAATATAAGTGGTTCAACCTTATCTACGCGGTTCAGCTGTGTATCGCTAGAGATAGACGACGTGAAATTGGGTGTCGTTCAGATTAAGACGAACGATGGACGAACGAAATGGATATTTCAGATATCGAACGATTTTCAATCTTCATTTGAACGGAACAAAGTGGGTCGTTTACGAACGATGAACGAACGAAATTTAAGAAGTCTCGCTATTCATAAAATTTGGTCCCTGGGTATTTTTCTTATATAGATTGTTATTTTAAATATTTTTTATTTGAAAGCTGTTACATGATCGTGTTTTCTAGGAGAGTCTAGAACAGACTGAGACGGTTCTGACCAAGACAGCTCAGCTCCTCTCCGCTCTTCTCCTTATACCAAAATTTGAGAAGCTCAGAATTCAGACACTTAAGGTAAGCACGTTCAGAAAGTTAAAGTGAATGTAAGCATAATTTCAAGAGACCTTCCACTTTCGATTGGTATGTCCGATTTGCTACGATACCCTTTGAACCTTTGTTTTATCAAGGATTTCGTAAATATTCTTATCTATGCTAAGCTTTATGGGCGCTTCGCCTCTATCTTCTATTTCAAATGTGAACATTTTCCCATGATAAACATTGTGAAAAAAAAACAAAAAAGTTCGAGGATTTTATTTTAATAAATCATTGATTTTCAAATTTTAATTTAAATCAAATTTTGTTGGCAATTTTTTGAAATTTTTGTCACTCATAGACCTACCCTCGGGTCATGTGAGGTCCCACACAAAATTTGGACCCGTTTTGACGTTTATTGGATACAAACAACAACTGACAAAGGTTTAAAGGGTACCGTTGTGAATCTAACATGCCTCTCTATGAATGGAAGGTCACTTGAAATTATGCTTCCAATCCCTTTCAGATTTTTTTATTAAATACATCTCCCCAGGGGGGGGGGGATATTTGGAAAAGGGGGTAATGAAAAATGGGACATCTAGTAGTAATTCACTCCTCCTTTTCTAAATACTTTTAAAATAATTTCCCCACATTTAAAGCAATTATTCCTAATATACTAGTTGAAAAGAATGATTTTTCAAGAAAATATATTCTCTGAAATTACGAAAAATTGGGCTACGGGCAGGTTAACAACTTCTTTTTAAAGGGACTGTAATTGTAATTTTAATTGACCCCCCGTGAAAAGATGGCAATGTAAAATTTATAACAGAAGCTTTGTCTGATCAAGTATGAATTAGATAGCAATGTTTATGAATGATTACTTTCAATTGTGTCTTCTCTACAAAAGTGACTTGCGCATATCTACCGCAGGAAAATTTATAGAAATTATCAAAATTAAACACTTCAGTTAATTGAGAAACGACAATAACTTCCACACTATTAACGGGACTTTAAATTATGCGTCCTTGTAATTGCATTCGTAAAAGAAATATAAATGTTTTGATGTTATTTATATTAAAGGTGTTGAGTAAGGTTGTAAAGGTTCTAGTGGACTGCAAGAGAGCCTCCCTGGTTTACCTCTTCAGGGACGAGATCAGCAAGAGCCTCGACGGCGTCATCAAGGACCTCGCCTCAGATCCCGCCACCAAGACCACCGCCAGGGATCTGAAAACCGCCATCAACGCAATCCAACCCGCCGACGTTAAGGCGTAAGATGACGATCCAAAAATTAATAATCTATCGATGAAATAAGTTAAAAGTGATATCAAATTATATTAATTATGTATTGATATAAAAAAGCCGAATTGTTATTTTTTTATTATTCGTCTTATAGGATGAATTTTAGATAGTTTTGGATGTTATTATTTCCAAATTTTTAAATGAATTCGCCTTACATCTGGTCTTATACACAGTGATGCTGCACTAGTATATTTGTGATCAGCTGTTCTAAATTTGCAATTCTACCAATATGTGATCTAGAAATTATTTAAGGTCATCGTAATTAACAATTCGTATTTATTAAATCCTAATCATTTCTTACCTACTTTTTTTCATTTATCAGAGAAAAATTCTAAAGAAAGAGGGAAGAGTCTACAAATTATGGGTCACATGCTGTGTTTAAAGGGACCGTTCACTTATTTGGATAACTTCAGGTTAAACTAAATAGCTTATTAGCTATTTATAGGTATTGGTCTTACTTTTCAAAGACAACTATAGTCGGAGAAAAAAACGATTTTTTTGTTCAGAATTCGAGCGCATAGGTTCAGACTATTACCAATTTACAGCTAATAGGCTGTTTAGTTTACCATGAAATTACCCGAATAAGTGAACGGTCCCTTAATGTTCATCAATCTGATTGTTTTACATCCGCCCAATTTTACATCCGTCCTACGATACTTTGGACCTACCCGCACGTGGTTTTTAAGCAGCTTCAAGCTGCTGGTTGGTCCGATGTACTGTAGGTCTGATACGCACTTCATTAAAATAAAGTTAGTGTATCCGACCAAGTTGGTTGCACTCTTCTGTTGGTCGGATGCACAATATTTGTAGATCGGATGCACAACTTTTGTAGGTCGGATGCACAAAAACTTCCTGTATCCGACCTGCTGTAAGTCGGGATTGCATACCTTTCTTAAGATGGTTGCACTCGATTCCGTAGGTCGGACTCACAATAAATGTCTTAACCTAACACAACCCCTCATATTGTCTATCACTTAATCATTTTGATAAATGTGGCCGCAGCGCTCTGCCCCCTAGCCTGTCCTAGCCACAGCACTCGGCCCAGAAATTGTCTTAACTAAACCTAACCCCACATATTGTCTGTCACTTGTTCATTTTGATAAATGTGGCCGCAGCGCTCGGCCCCTTAGCCTGTCCTGCCTCAGCACTCTGAAGGACGGAAATGCCGTAGAACAGAAGTAACATTACCATTGATCTGGCAGGGTCTAACTGACTTATTTTGTTATCATAATTAATTGAAAATACTTCAATGGCGTCCATATGGAAGACAAGTTCTTTTACCTAGTAGGAGGAGTTCGAATGTATTTATTGGTTTTCTAAAGGGTTTGGGTCGAGACACACTACCCTCTTTAAACAGTACATTAAAAATAATTCGAAAAAGTTAAACATTTTTGTTGGCATAAAGGGGAAAATATATTGTGTAACGGAATCATCAACATCAAGTGAAATTTTATTTAATTAAGAAGTGCAATTATTCTTAAGATTTTGGTGCAGCGGTCGGCGATTTTATCAATATAATCAAGACGACCTTTTTATTAGAAAAGCTGTTTATTGGCAACTTCTCTTTGTTAACATATTTCTTGTTTATCTCCTGTGTAAAAGATAGATAGAAATTGCAAAATTAAAATAGAAAGTTGTCTTCATTGTATTGATATTTACGACGACGACTGTAGAAAAGTATTGAGTTCCTCGATTTCATTCTTGAAATCAAATTTAAAAAGTTTTGAGATTTAAAATTAAGTTTTTTTTGTAAAGAACTGCTGTAAAGTTGGCAAACAGCAAGGGAACAATGTAAGCATCCAAAAAATCATCTTCTTCCAACTTCGAATTCCTTGTAGACGCAATTTACACAATGTAAGCGTCATATTTGGAACAAAATGAATTATGTGCTATTATGTAGAATGAATAAATTAAACATTCAACTTTACTTATTTAAACAGTTTTACAGAGATTCTATTCCAAAACCGAAATATTAATCCCACTAAGGGGTGCTTTTGAAATTTTTCTGATTTTAATAATTCTGAATTCCCCCCCCCCCTTGAATATTACTGTTACTCCTTCAGTAAATTGATCCAATGGTGCTTGGATAGTAATAGAAAAGTACACCGATATCACTCCGATAGTACTCTCATAGCACTCTCATACCACTTAGATAGTACTCTAATGGTACTGCGTTATTATTTTTTCCGATAGTACTTCGATATTACTTCGATATTACTCTATCAGTACATACGTCAAAAATACTCCGATATAATCTGATTGTACTCAGAAAGTACTTCGATAGTCTGATAGTACACAAATAGTTCAAAGTACTCTTATATTACTTTGATGTTATTACTCCAATTGTACTCCGATTGTACTTTAATGATATTCCGGTATCACTCTGAAAGCACTCCGATAGTACAGGGTGTCCCAAAAAACATGGGAATTCAGTGACGAATTCGATATCGTCTTTGTTATGAATTAGCATTGTAATACCTAATTTCAAAAGCCATAATATTATTATGTCTGCTAGAGTTTATTTAATGAAAAGGGTAAAAGACTGTAAAGATGTGTCTGTAATACCTCCGCAAGATGAACAGTGAATACGGACAAGTTTACTCTGTTTGTATACTGTAATTTTCTTGTTTTACTAAGTACAACCGTATGCAGTCAAAACATAAACAAACAAAATGTAAACATAGCAGACGAAACTCTTACAGATTACAGCTTTCTCAGTAGGTATCACTATACTAAATCAAAGAATTATTTGAAAAGACAATATCGAATTCGTCACTGAATTCCCATGTTTTTTGGGACACCCTGTACTTCAATATTCCTCTGAAAGTATCCCGATAGTACTTACATAGTTCTTTGATATCACTCTGAAAGTACTCCTATAGTACTCCGTTAGTACTTTGAAAGTACTCTGAAAGATACTCCAATAGTATATCTTATATAGATAGCATTGGGGGCGCATACAATGATACAAAAGTAAACTTAAAAATTTCTAAAATATGAAAAGTGGAATTTGTTCCTTTGTAAAGCTGACATTTTCCTCCTTCAGCAACCATTAGGGTGACGTCACACTGAAAAAAAAATATTAGAATGACTTCCGAACTCATTCTAGTACATAGTAAGCTTCGGCTTTAATTGATAATGAGAAAGTACGATCTATGAATAAAATGCAACTTATCTGAACACTCTTCTCCTATAATATATTCGTTTTATACATCATCCCGGAACTTTCGCGAGAATGACAGGAGGGGCTGCAGTTAATTTGGTTTATTTTAAATATTAAAAAGTACTTAAACAAATTAAAAAAATTCTTTTTCCAAAGTTCCTTAGAAAATGAATATATGCTATTTTGTTAATTGATTTTTATCTATTTATGTCATTGTAATGGGTATTATTAAGTGCGCACGCATGATACCCATTTCAATAACATATATAGTTTTAATCAGTTTTACCCAAATTTGTAAAAGCAGGTTGATAAAGTTACTTAATCACCCTGTTTTAGGGTGATTAAGTAACTTTATCACCCTACAATGAGACAAATTAGGCATGAAATTTCAATAGCAGGATGAAAAAGTTACTTTTTCACCCTGTTGTATGGCGATAAAGTCACTTAATCACCCTACAACGGGAAATATTAGGTGTGATAAATTCCATCAAAATTGAATAAAATAGTTTTTAAAGAACCTTCTTGGTTGTTTGTGTTTTGATTTAACTTGTTAAATCTCGAACATTATCTAATCAAAAACACACAATAGGAAAACTACAGATATTGATCTATGAAGATTATCAGGGGCGTATTCAGGAATATTTGAGGGGGGGCTGAGACCCCACAGTCCACCCCCTTGAATACGCCCCTGAAGAATATAATATCACGCAGTGGCGGCAGTGCAGATGGTATTTTAAAATTGTTCACAGGACGTATAATTCAATTATAAATTCACTGATCACGTATTATTCGAACTATTAAAATGCAAGAGTATAAAAGTATACAAATTCTAGATATATGTTATACTTATTATTGTAATATATACACAACGTTAAATCTTTATTTGCAGGCTTAATCTTCCCAGGGATCTGCTTAAACTTATCCTTCGAAGCATCCGTCATCATCTCAGGGTCACACTTCCTCTTTAACACAGCATTCTTAGGATCAATAGTAGCTTTCCCGGCCATCCTCAGGGTATCGAAGTAGGTTGCCTTCACATCCTCAACATCGAAAGATACAACCCTGGTTCCAAACAATCTCTGATCCTCCTCCTGCATCTCCTCCACCCATTTCCTCACCTCCAATATCTCCTCTGCTGACGATACTCCGCAAATCAATTCTCTCACTTCAATCCTGTCCAGCATCCTCATGTTCAACCCCCTGATCCTCCGATACTTCTCCAACTCCTCCAGTTTTGGATACCTCCAGGCATCGATCCGCTTCGCATCCTCCACCAGGAAGTCCAGGAGTGGAGCATGCAGAGGTAGGAACTGATCCAGAGTTAGCTTACTAGGCCAATCCAGTCCAGATTCAGACACTCTCCTGAGATACAGTGACATGTATCTCTCATCTCCTCCAGTATTGATCCTATGGGTCCTTCCTGTCAGATCTCCAACCATGCCAATCTTATTGGCTATCCTAGTCTCTCCCCATACCTTCGGGAACTGGGCTGGGATCAACATCCTCATTCTCTCCTCGAACTCCAGACTCCGCTCCGCTGTCCATCTCTCCTTCACAGCCCTCCGGAAGTCCTCTTTCGTCAGTAATCTAGAAAAACGCATTTTTAACAACTTGATAACTCCTATCCAAACTTCATCTATCATACCAGTGATTAAAATTATGTGTGCTCTGTTTATTAAGAATCTAACCCCCCCCCATCATACAGNATGGTCAAGGGCTTTTCAAAAATGTATAATTTGTCATTTTTTGGACAAATTTTTTTTTGCAAACATTTTTACTATAAAACTGGATTTTGCGATAAAAAATTCAATTTTCGCAAATTTGCAAATTTTTTTGCAGATTCTAAAAGTAGAGCACAAGAGCTTTCTAATGATGTATCATTTGTCATATTTGGACATAAAACATGGGATTTAGAGGGGGGGGTCAAATTGACCCCCCCCCAGCGTATCCTGGTTTTCAAGTACCCCAGCGGGGATAGGGTCAATACTTAAACAAAAACCATTACAAAAAAAATAGTGCTATGTAAAACAACGCTGATCCCTCTGTACAAAATACATCGTTTTCTACTTTGTATTGGAGAAGAAAAAAGTTTTATATTTGTTTATCAAATCACGACTGATAACTTGGCTTCTCAATT